AGTTGTGAACATGCGCGTATATACAAGATTTCTCCAATGGAATATTTAATAGTGGCTGTGGAGGACCGGAGACCCAACCCCCAAGACACGAGGCAGACATAGGGAAGACCAGAGCCCGAGGGCCCGAGAGGGATCCCGAGCGCAGAGCCCCAAGGGGCACCCGCACGGCAAGATCCGCCCACCCAACCCCCAGATCAGACCATAGGGGAGAACTGGGGGAGTCCCCCCAGCGACCACACACACAGCCCCCGGGTCCAGCAGCGACAAACTCATGGGCCCCACCGGCACCCGCCATACCAGAGGCCAGCACGCCGGCAGCCAGGCACACACCCCACTGGGGGGGGCCTGAGTAGCAGCGGGCCCCCAGATAAACCAGCAGGAGGGGCAGTCCAGACCGCAGCCTGACAAATACCCAAACATACACAATCGCACTGTCCCACCCTCATCCTCCAACTGGCAAAGAAATTTTTATTGAACTCTCAAAAATGCATCATTGGTTGTGCCTACAACTAATTTACTCAGGCTAATCGAACTTAGCGAAGACAAGCTAACTATCATATTTAATGACACTGAGCTGAACTCCATGTGGTAGCTGAACGTTATCCGCATTAATAACTTCGTAATAGATAACATTTTTTTACTTTGGTATAAAGGCAGTGGGTCATATAAGTGTTGGTGTTAAAGAACAAAATTTAAAGTTAAATTTACTAAAATGTCAGCCCTCAAATATAACTTGTAAAAAACAAATCTTTATTTACATTGATAACAATTACAGAAACATTTATACACAAATTGATGGCTACATGTCCTCAGACTTCATTCAAACAAACAGCAAATCCAATTTAATAGAAAACAAACATCTTGGTTTTGCACAAATTGCTACAAGTAAGAACAAATGTAAAAAAAAAAGTAAAAAAAAAGAAAGAACTTAAAATGGGCACAAATAATGAAAAACCGTAAAAAAGAGTTTTAAGCTGTTAAAAACATTTTGTTTCTGGCTCAGGTTTCAATCAATTTCATTTGTTTCTTAAAAACAAACCTATTTATGTACAAATCAGTTTCATACAGTGATGTTGTCTCATTTATAACTTTTTTTGTCCTTTCTTCTCATCTTGTCCTCGTTTACAAAGGTGTTGAGTGAAGACAGGGCAACTTGCAGAACGATGACATTTTACAAGCTCCTTCAAGTAGAGAAAAATCAAAAAACAAATTTAGTATTTCAGTGAATAATAATAATAATAATAATAATAATAATAATAATAATAATAATAATTTTCAATTACTTCCTTTAGTTTTAATGTTGCTGCAGAGGCAGGACTTCATCTTCATGTCTGCTTCAGGAGTCAGGGGCATGAGAGGTTTGGTATATTTAGGCTTTTCTGCAACTAAAAATAAAGACGGTTACTAATATTTATCCTGTAAAACTCCCACAGTTAACACCTCCCTCCCCTCCAAACAATACATTGATAAAATAATAATTAAAAAAGATTATTTTCATTTTGTAGAGAAAGAGAAATAAAAACAAAATTAAAGGTAAAAATTTTGTCACTTACTTGCAAAGTGTCTGCATTTACGAATTTCCACCTTTGAGAATCCGACGTGTTGATATTTGTTACAATAAGCTGCAGAGTCCAAACAGAAGCAAAAGGAAGACATTATTATTAACTACATGTTACAAATTAACACCAAGTATTTTCATAGTTCATCTGGTCCATACCTGTTCTGTCAGACAGGCAGTGGATCAGGATCAGGATCAGCAGAGTCGCTCCGACGGTTCGGGCCATGCTGGTCTTTCCTCTGGTTGCTCCGACGGATCGAACGTTTCTCTGCAGGAGCCAGGTGTTTTATAGCAGCAGGTGGTCCACCTGGTTCTGCAGGTTGATGAGTTCTGGCACGTTGGAGGGGATTTTTTTAAAAATCATTAATCTGTGATGAACCTGGAGATAAAGACATAAATAACTGAACCAAACAGGAGGATTTGTTGGTGACTGGTTTGAAATTCAACAATAAACTCAATCAAACATCAAATCCCTACAAGAACAAAAAACCTTCATAAATAAATCTCAGAAGCCTTCAGTTATGTTTCCTCTTTCTTTAAATAAACAAATATTTAGAAAATATTTTATTTACATCTTTAAAAAGTTTAGCTGCATTAGACTGACGTGGAATGGTGGAAAAATGTCTTGAACTTTAGGCTAACCCATAACTAGCTTAGCATGCTTTTTGCTACATTTATCTTTCGCTAATTTTAGCCAGTGTGTTGCTACTTGTACATTTGATAATTTTACTGTGGCTTTTGCTAGTTTTTTAATACTTTTAGGTTTTAAATAGCCTCTTGCTGTTTTTAACTTTTTGCTACCCACATTAGCGTTTAGCTAGTATTTGGCTTCTTTGCCCCTGCTGCTTTTAGCTAGTCTCTTGTTACTTTTAGCTAATGTTACTTGTACATAGCTTTTTGATACTTTTTGTATATCTTTTGGATTTTTTAACTTTCAGTTAGCCTTTTACTAATTTTAAACTTTAGTCAGGCTCTTACTGATAATGTTGCAGCAATATATTGTTTTGTGGATTGATGTAGGCTACCTGCTGCTGCTGCAGAAGCCTTTCTATTCTATTCTATTCTCTTCTAATCTATTCTGTTCTATTCTGTTCTATTCTCTTCTCTCCTATTCTATTCTATTCTATTCTCTTCTTTTCTCTTCTCTTCTATTCTCTTCTCTTCTATTCTCTTCTCTTCTATCTCTTCTCTTCTCTTCTATTCTATTCTATTCTATTCTATTCTATCTCTTCTATTCTCTTCTCTTCTATTCTATTCTCTTCTATTCTTTTCTCTTCTCTTCTCTTCTCTTCTCTTCTCTTCTCTTCTCTTCTCTTCTATTCTCTTCTCTTCCGTTCTATTCTATTCTCTTCTCTCCTATTCTATTCTCTTCTATTCTATTCTCTTCTTTTCTCTTCTCTTCTCTTCTCTTCTCTTCTCTTCTCTTCTCTTCTCTTCTCCTCTTCTCTTCTTTTCTCTTCTATTCTGTTCTATTCTCTTCTCTTCTCTTCTCTTCTT